ACATGTGTGTCTTTACAGCTATAAAAAGAATCAGTGCTGTGAAAAAAAATTCCTGACCAACAGGATAAAAAATATTAACAAGTACTGAAAAGTTGTGCACTGCTTATACAGGGAGTCTGGTACAGTGCACAAGATTTCTGCAGGATTTTAAAAATGATGGAGAAGCTGGTATATCAAGTAGAAAACAATTGTTGCTCAGAATTCTGACTGTGTTAGATCCTAACTCCTGCACCTTGAAGAAGATATCATTTTAGTAGTCATGTATTTTGTGCTAAAGATTAATTTGATAATGTGACATTGACATGAAGCTGTTTTTGAGCAGATAAAATACAACCCTTAAACTGGATTTAAAACTTAAAGTTTAATGTGGTGAGATCTGACACCAAGGGATATTGAGAAATAGTTTTAAAAGATAAAACACTGAGTAAGTAACTCAGCAGCAGAAAGAAATGAACAGCCCTGGCCAGTGTGGTTAGAGTGTCTGCCCTTGCTCCGAAGCATTTCAGGTTTGATTCCTGGTTAAGGGCAAGTACCAGGGTTGCAGGTTCCATCCCAGCCGGATACCAACTAATGGATGTGTCTCTCACATGTCCATGTTCATCTCTCTTTCTCTTTCTCTTTTCTCCCACCCCCCTCCCACTCCCTCTCTAAAACAAACAAACAAACAAACAAACAAAACAATGAAAAACTATATACCGGTGAGGACTAACAAAAAAAGAAAAAGAAAAAAGGACACAAGCAAGTAATCCACAAAAACATTACACTGAGTAAAAGAAACCAGACACAAAAGGGTGCAAGAGCAGGTCAGTGGTTGCCTGGGGCCCAGGGTGGGGTGGGAGGAGATTGGCTGAGAACTGACAAAAGAAAGCTTCTGTGGTGATAAGAATAGTCTAGAACTCAGTTTCAGGTGTACAACCTAATGAGTAGACATTTATATAACTTATGAATATAACATTGTATGTCAATTGTAATTGAAAGATTTTTTAAATGATTGAAAAAATAAAGCTCTGGTTGGTTTGCCTCAGTGATTAGAGCATTGGCCCTTGC